GGTTAGATGGAGGTCCTGCACACTGTCTAAAAACCTACGCTAGCGTTCAGACCTGGCTGACTGAATGCTGGTGAGAGTCAGACCTGGAGAAGCCTGAGCCCAAGCCATGGCCTCTTGGGCTGCTCCCTGCTTGGCCAGAGCCTGGAGCTGCGGCAGGAGCTACTTCCTGCTGCCCCATCACCAGGCTGAGAGGAGGCAATCTCCCTTGCCAGGTAAGCAAAACCACCTGGGCTGAAGAGCACCCTGTAGCATCTCTGCTGCAAGGAGCAGGGGGGCCACCCAGCCCCTCTCACCCTAGCTGGACTGGAGGCAGGGCATAGCTCTGCATCCCCCTGACTACCAAGCCCAGTCTGGGGCACCTTTCCCAGCCAGCATGTTTTGGGTGTAGGCAGTTATCCCTGCCTCCCCCCCAGCGGCACACTCCCCTCAGCCGGGCCAGTACTCACCTGTGATGGAGGAAGACCATATGGGAACCAGTGCAGTGGATGCTGTTCCTTGCTGCTGGCTGTGCCACCTCCTAGTACTGTTGTGGCTCCAGCCTGGGGCACAGGCGCAGAGCACCCAACCGTGGGGCAGGGATCACTGCTGCAGCCAAGCAAAGGAGCAGGACCTGGTCCAGGCAGCAGACCTGGCCATGCTCTGCAGGACACATGGGGGTCGCGTCCAGCCCAGGGAAGGGCCCGCCTGCCCTACTCTTAAACAGCTGGGGAACAAACCCTCAGCGCAGCCACCCCTGGGCCCAGGAACGCAGGGGGCCAAGGGCTCTGGCACTGCAGTGAAAAATGAACCCCCATCAGCCCCAATGCAGCATCCATCTGACCCTGAGCACAGGGGAAGACCTGTCAGCCAAGACCCTCCAGGTTTGGGCCCAGCAAGAGTATTGGCACAGCCATCCCCCCAGGCCAAGGCCAATGGCTCTGCCTGGTGCAAAACCACAGGGGCAGGAGCAGCAACCTCCTCTTTCCACCACAGCCACAGGGATGGGACAGTTGCAGCTCACACCTGCCCCATCTCCCCTTCCTTGGCTCATGCTGTCAGGCAGGGGCTTTAGGATGCTAGGGCAGATGCAGTCTGTCCCCAAAAGCCCCAGGCTCCAGCAGCTGCTGCTGCAGCACCCCCTGCTGGCCCCACCCCAGGCTGCAGCCAGGACCCAGCACTGCCCTGCCGCCCTGCCACCCTGCAGCTGTAGGCTTCTTCCTGGGGCACTGCCCCACGGCCCTGAGCTTGGCCCAGGCCCTACACTACCACACAGCTCCTCGGAGGCTCAGGCTGGAAGATCCTGCCCAACTATGCCCAGCCCCTTTGGGATCTCTCACCCCAATGCCCAAGCAGGCAGAGCCCCGCTCCCAAGGGGACCCTGCGCCTCAGTTACCTTGAGCACTCGCAGTGCAAGGCCTCCATGTCCATAAACTGCAACAGCATTACTGCACCCTCGGCTCTCTCCAGCCTGCTGTCCTCTTCGGGACCAGCCCAACACTGTGGGCCACCAGCACCCACCTCCAAGGCGGACTAGCACCATCCCAATGCCTCCTGCCCACGTGTCCTTGGTCGCTTCCACCTGCCAGCCTCTGATACCCGGCAAGGGCCAGAGCGAGAGCACTGAGCCAGCTCTGCCCAGCCAGAGGCTTCCCTGCCTGCATGACTTACAAGGTAAACAACACACTATTTTTTAGTCTTTTTATGTGGGAGAGGTAGGATAAAGGAAAAAAGATTTTTCCATAGCTATGGCTCCAGGGAGCAGGGACGGAGTCTCATCATCAGTTGACTTGCCCTCCCTGTCGTGCTTCATTAAAGCTGAATTCCTAGTGCTGCTGAGGACTGTCTCTATGAGTGAATCTATGGTTATGAAAGGAGCTAAAGAGTTTGTGTTGAACAGCTGGCACTAAAAAAGCTGCAAAATAGAGACCAGACAGCAACACTGCCCTAAGAAAGGCTGGCTTGGTTAGTGGAAGGTCAAGAGACGATTGCTAACACCTGGAGAGCGAGAACAATAAGCCATTAAATCAGTTGACCCTGAGTGGGAATATCACAGCTACAGCAAGAATCAAACCAGAGAGCTTCCGTCCCCAGGCAGAAAATCAGCTGCCCTGCTGAATACATGCACCCCGATCAGGGAAGGTGCATGTTGTACGCTAGAAAATACAGTGCCTGACAACCACGCTGGAGTCCGACCAAGAGCCACGTGCTGGGTACTGGGCTCCCACGGACTCACGCAGCCTCTGCCCTCCGTGAGATGTCGAGGGCCCGCTGGCCGACATCCAGCAGGCCCCCTCGTCCCCTGACCCGTCTCCCACGTGCCCCCCTGGCCCAGCCCAGGAGCGAGGAGAGAGAGGCGGGAGGCGGGCACGGCGCATTGGTATACATCATACATTTATTAGTGAATATCCCTCTCAAAATCAGCCACAACATTAAAAAAAATAATGATTGCACTACTCGGTCAAGCAGAACTAGCAACTTTCATTTTAAAAAAAGTACAAATCTGTTAAAAATTTCCATCAGTATAATACACATATATATAATACAACAGACGAGGGAGGGGCAATGCTACAAAACCAATGCGATTCCAATGGAATGGAGAAAAAAAACCCCCAAAAAACAAAAACCCAAAAGAAAAACAAACACTTTTAGAGCTTTTAAGAACCTTTGTTTTTTTTCTCTATATATTAGCCTTTTTTTTCTCAAATACATACATGGGGAAAATGAGGTAACTGTAAAATGTGCAAGTAACAGAGCAAAAAAAAAATTAGATTTATATATATATATATGTATATATGTGTATATATATATATATATGTATATAGCGCTGTACCCACGTATATAGATATATATATATATAAGACTTTCTAACACAGAACACACGTCCGGGCGCCGTCCAGGGGCCGGGGATGTCCCGCTGGAAGGCCGAGGGACTGGTATAATAGAACAGTAAACAGTCCACTATCCCACCACAGGAAATCATTGGTAAACAGTGGTATCTACAGCGCAATCAGCAATCACAAACACCCTAGATAATTGTTTTAAGTATTTTTTTTGTCTTTTTTTGTCTTTTTTTCTTATTATTATTTTATTATTTCGTCTTTTAAATGATACTTTAGCTGCTCCTCGGAGTAAATTCTGCAGCACACGAGCTGTGAGCTTTCGAGGCGCCGGCAACAGGACGGTAAGGCTTTCCAGACCGCCCGGGGGTACCGGGCAGGAGGGAGGGGCAGGGGACCGGGGCGAGAGGCGGGGACAGGGGTTTAAAACAGAGGGGCATCAACACTGCTCCGACTGGCTAGAAACATAGAAACGTCACCTGCCGTATGTACAGTAAAGAGCTTTGGTTATTCGTGTCACGCGGGAGGGGTTGGGGTGAGGGAGCCGCCGGCCCGGGGTGCTGGTGTCCTCCGCCCTCCCTGGGCACCTGCCCCGCGCCCAAGCGGACAGGACAGGGAGGTCGAGGCAAGGGGAAACGGCTGTCAACTGCACTGGCCAATCAGAGTGCCAGGAAGGGAGCGGGTCATCTCGAAAGGGCAGTGGGAACCAGCCCCGCTCGCCTGGATTGGCCGGGAGGGGGTGGCGGCCCCTCGCTCCAGCCAATCGGAAGCTGCCGTTGGGCAAGTCCCACAATGCACACAGTGCAGGGGTGCGAAGGCGTCGGCGGCACATGGCACACCCCTGCCCTGCCCCAGCTGCGATTCCAAGCCCCTTCCTGCACCCTGGGGCTGGGTCCTCGGGGGCTTCTGCAACCCCTTGCCCCAGGGCCGGATTTCCTGAGAGCAGCCGGGCTCCCGCGGCCTCTGCCAGGCAGCTTCCACGCGGCGTATTGCTGAGAGCTGGTGCCCGCGGGAAGGAGGCTGCATGGGCAGGCTGCCACCAGGCCAGACTCTCCCTGGGCACCGCAGCCCCCTCCCATCCCCTCCCAGGCGGGCAGGGGAAGGCACCTGGGCCCAGCCCGGGCTTCCCAGCAGCAACTGCTCCCCCATGCGCCCACCCCAGGGCAGGGCCAGTCTGTGCCTGCAGGAAGCTCATGAGCACCAGGGCTGGGGGCTGTTCTCATGGCCGCGGGGCTGGGAGAGTCCTGGCCAAGGGCGTGGGAAGGATCCTGCTCCCTGGTACCCTATGGCTAGTGGAGAGGGGAGCTCGAGCCCGGCTGGCCGCGCAGACCCCACCTCCCCCTCCAGCTGGGCCGGCGGGCGGGCAAGGGGAAGGGAGAGGCGCTCCGAAAGCCTTACGGTGCTGCTGCGGCGTGCGGACATGTGCAGTACAGTGCATGGCAGTAATCAGCTGAGCACAAAGACCCCCTCGCCCCACCCCCCTCACCCCACAGCTGGCTCAAGTCGGCCAATACCATGTCCCAAGCTGGTCATACAGGCATGCATATGTGTGAACTATACAGGGGGCCGGGCATCCCCGTGGCCCCTCCAGACATCATGCAACACGACTGCCGACGGCCAGAGCTCTAGGGCACCGGGCACGGCTGCTTCCCTGCTACTGTCGGTCGGTCAGTTAGGGCCTGGGCAAAACGGCGCGTGCACACACGGGAAGGCACGGGACCAGCGCGCTCCTCCCGCCCGGGCAACAAGCCACGTGGAGGCATCGCCAGGGCCCAGCCCTGCCGGGGAGGGGGAAAGGGTAGGGGTAGGGGCAGGGGCCTCACCCAACAGGGTGGGAAGGGAAGACAGCTCCTCCAGGGCCAGGGCCAGGGCCAGGGTCAGGGAATCACTAGCTGGGCTTCTCCATGATACGAGCCAGGGGAGGAAAAAGACGCCACGAGACAGAGGACACACCAGCCACGCTCTGCCGGGCCAGGGTCTTAGGGAGAGGGGGCTGGCTAGAGTGAGTCACCCCCAAGTGCAATTAAAATTCATGTGGGGGATACTTAAAAATCAAGTGCGAGCCCAGCCCAGGGTGGGATGAGGTCACAGGGCACCTGCCACAGCAGAGCTGTGGGTGCTGGAGCCACCACCGTAATTCTCTGCGCGGCCCCAGCTGCTTTGCCCAGGAGGCCTTGCTCCCAGCCACGGCCCTGCGGATGGGGGGGTGGGAGACCTTGCCCCCAGGGCAGCAGTGGGCGACGGGGGGAATCTTTCCCCCAGCTGGGTAGAACCAAGCAGCCGGGGACGCCAAAGGCAGGCAGGCGCCCAGCACTGCCTTGGGCCCGGGTCCTGCCCTTGCAGCGCTCCACTGACCAATGCCTCCTGGTGCCCGCCGGGCAGGTCTGTCCCCACCGCGCCAGGGGAGGGTCCAGCGGCCACGGAACCAAACATGACAGAGAAAAGAACGAAGGAGGAGGACGAACAACAAAACGGAGACCTGGAGTGATGGAGCAGCGGCGGCGACGGCGTCTTTGGAGTGCGGGGGCCTGGGCGCAGCCCCCGGGGCCGCGGGCAGCCCACTGGGTGGCGCCAGGCCGAGTCCGTGCCCAGGTGGGCGGGCGGGGTAGGGGGCGGCCGGGCCCGCGTTCTCACCACGCCTGAGGAGGGGCTGCCGGAGCCCGGCCCCGCGCCCTCCACCTCTTGGGCCTCGCGTGGCAGAGCCTGGGCCAGCCTCACTCGGCCTCTCGATGCACCTCCGACGCGTCCGCCCGGCAG